TCTCATAATTCAGTAATATTGAATAATAGATGATAATAAAAATAGACATGTTTTGAGCGTCCAATAATAAAACTCACATGTTATTCAAGCCTGACAAGTCTTGAGAATGGGCGATTATATTTGAACGCTCGAAGCATGTCGACTTTTACTTCCCTCTTCATGTTTTTTGAAACCAGTTGAGTTTTTATCATCAGTTATAAGTTATACTGTTTTACATTTGGATGTTGATCATTAATTTGATAAGGATTTTACACTCGTTAAAGTAAACATATGCATTTTAATATTTCAACAGGATTCATGTGGTCTTTAAGAACATAAGAGCATCATAACGTACCTTACGAACTCTGTTTAAAAAGAGAGTATTGGATCAGATATATATTAGAAAAAAATAATCATAGTTGCAGAATTTCGTGGTAAATGTAGCTTATCGTAATTGAGGAATATGCTGTGTGACAGACATTTTATGGTGAATTTGAGAACGTAAGTNACCTTACGAACTCTGTTTAAAATGAGAGTATTGGATCAGATATATATTAGAAAAAATAATCATAGTTGCAGAATTTGGTGGTAAATGTAGCTTATCGTAATTGAAGAATATGCTGTGTGACAGACATTTTATGGTGAATTTGAGAACGTAAGTTTCAGAATGTGTCGAAACATGAGGATGCTATTTGCTAATCATCTTTATCATCTTTATTACCTAAATATCTAGCAGAACGAAGCGATTGTTTAAACAATGAATTATACAATATGAAACACCATATTATTTCAATGTCTTATTCTTAAACATAACATATTCCAATGTTTTTGAAATGCCAGTAAACATTCAGCAATTCCTTCAGTTATAGAATAAAAGAAATATCGTAAATTATAGAAAACCTTGTGAATGTGTATTAGAATTACTATACAACCAACATTTTATTTTTCAAGCACTTTTTTTTTTGTTCAATCTTTCTTGCCTCTCGATTAAAGCTGAAAAATGATTATCCATAAAATTTTGTGTACAGTTATAATAAGTTATGTTAATTTGTTTTTAGTATGAAATCCTCGAATAAATATAGCAAAGACAACATAATCTAAATAATATCAGATAAAAAGGTCATGTA